GGATGGTCTCGATCTCTTGACCTCATGATCCACCCGCCTCGGCCTCCCAAAGTGCTGGGATTACAGGCGTGAGCCACCGCGCCCGGCCGTGAATGTAAACTTTTAAAGGGTCCTCGTTGGCAAATTTTATTTTGTATTTTGTGAATTGCTTATTGATGTTCTCTACTCATTTCCTTCAATAATAAATAGACTGTTGTTATTTATCTGTCAAAAATCCATTCCAAAAAATATGTTGGATTTTTACCTAACCACTTCTGATTGAGATCTCAGGAACTATTTTTAGAATGATCTTCCTCCCCTAGTATACTTACTTTCTCATTTTTGTGGTGAGTCACACATCTCTTTCCTTTTCTTAAGCTCAGTCATTGCTTCTGCTGCTTCATTCCCAATTTTGACCTGGTCATAATTAATATTGAATTCTTTTCACTCTTTTCTACTAAATTGGATTGAAGGTGGGGATAAAGCGAGAATAAATATTTTCTTAGAATTCTAAGTGCTTGAGCAGTGCCTGACGTGAATATATGCTTCATAAAGGTTATGATTATTGCTTAGTTTTTGAGTCCTTTAGTTCTGTGCCATATGGATAACCCTAAATATGATTTAAATAAATGTGTCATTCTGTTGTTCTTAAGATAATGAATATGCCAGAACCAATTTAAATCAAGAGATGTACAATCTTAGAATGGTTTTTCCCTCTTTTAAGGTTATATACAAATTTAACTTTAAAAATTACTAAAAGATAGTAGAATTCTTAAAAGTATCACAATTTATTACTTAACCCAATACTTTAAAAGTAGGGTTTTATAGAAGCATTGTGATTGTCTGTACATAGACACACGTTTACTAACAGATGTCTAGAATTTACATCGTGTATTGTATTAAACAGGTGGTTCATATAAAAATGGTAACACCTAGAGGTATAATAGAAAAAAGCTGTCAAGGACCTCGTATGTCAACAGGCCCTGATATCCATCACTTCATCATGGGATCTGAAGGTAAATATAACTGTAAATTTTTTAAGAAAAAATATAGATTAGTGATGCAGTTTTGTGAAAAGCTTTATGATATCAGATCTTTGAAAGACATGTTTTATATGTTTAAGGAATTTTTAAATTTTTAAATTATTTTTAAGACTTTATAAAGTTTTATTACGAGAATGTTTTAAACTTCCTCTTATATTTTGCTTTTTTATGTTTCTAGAGACAGCTTGATCTTTTAATTTTTATTTTAGAAATTTTTGATGAATTTCAGGAAAAGTGGCCATTAGGATTTAAAATGGTTTATTTTGACATTTTATGTTATAGTATTCTTAAATCTTGTCAGAATTATTGGCAAAAAGGACTGATAAAGCATTGGCTTATTGTCTTGTCTTTCTATAATTATGTCTTTTATAAAGTTAATTACTATTTGATTTTTAGAAGTGGAATTTTAAAATTCTGCTGGTTCACATATCTTTTAAACTTCTGTTGATCTTTTAATTTTTCACTACACAAACAGTATTGTTTGCTTGGTTACTTAATGCTGGGTAAATTTGAATGCAGTTCATCTCATCTAAAACTTTTAATTCCTGTACAGATCTGGAAATAATTAACCTTAAAATAATTATTATATAGGCATGGTCAATTGTATGGATAAAGTAAACATGGGCTTATTTTTCAACTTTTAGAATGGGAGAGGGACATTCTTTAAATTCAGAGAAATAAGATAAAATAAGCAAGTGTTTCAAGATTAACGGAGGAACTCATGACTCACTTCAGAAGGTGGTCCAAGTTACAGAAGATATATTTTGGTAACATTTAGCTAGAATTCATGAATAAAAGAGCAGGTACAATAAAGTAAGATGTTAGGCATAAATTCTAATCTTTGACAGTAACATCGAAGAGGGAAAAATGTAATAAACTATGTTTTTTAGTGATGTGATAGAAATCAGTTGTTTGGTTGATGACCAGTAGTATAGCTTAGATGTTTTTCATGGTAACCAAAGATAGACCTTTGTCAAAATATCTCACCAGTTTACTCAGTTTATTCCTTTTCTGATCAGCATACTCTTCTATGAAAAAACAAAACTGTATTTTTAATAAGAAAAATAATATAGTTACCTAATATTTTGGGACTTCTTATACTAACGCATCATCTACAAATTAAAAGAATGTAACTTTTTGCCATCAGAAGTCAAGTTGAATAATAAAAATAGATATTAAAACTCATATTTTTCCATTATATTATTGATATCTACATAGTTGGAGTCAACTCTATAACTATAAATAAATTTTTTCAAATAACCCATTATACTTTTTTTTCCTCCCATCAGTTAGCCTTTTAAAAATTCTCATTGCTAGATACTGTGCTGGGACACTTGAGACAGATCATAACACACAATTATACAATAGCATGACAAATTACATGATCAAGTAAAATGCAGAAGAAATACAGACAAAATGAGGTTGATAGATACTTACAAAGGCTTCTCCAGAGAGGCCATACCTAAAGTGGTCTTTGAAGGTTGATAAGAAGAAACTAATTCCAGGTCAAGTTGAGGAAAGACAGAAGAGGGGAGTTGCCCTACAGAATGACCATCACGTGGGTGGGCTTAGAAATGAGAAAGGGCCATGTCTGCCTCCTTACGAAGCTGCTGGTTTTTCAGTATGATTGGAATGTAAGGTTTAATTGTGGAGTAGAACAGGCAGCAGGTCAAGGGCCAGAATGGTAAGGGCTACAGAATGGTAAGGGTGACTGGATAGATAATTTGGTCTTTTCATGTGTTTTAAAATGGTTTGAACTTTTATCCAAAAGACTGGGCTACCTCTCTAGATAGTCACTTACTGTATGAATTTAAGGAAGGGACAAACTTATTATAATGAAGTAAGCAAAGAACTATAAGAAATTGGGCTGGGCGTGGTGGCTGTCACCTGTAATCCCTCGAAAAGTTTCACTTTGTGAGGCTGAGGCAGGTGGATCACTTGAGGTCAGGAGTTCAAGACCAGCCTAGCTAACATAGTGAAACCCCATCTCTACTAAAAGTGCAAAAATTAGGCAAATGTGGTGGCACGTACCTGTAATCCCAGCTACTTGGGAGACTGAAGCACGAGAATCGCTTGAACCGGGGAGGCAGAGATTGCAGATTATGGTGAGCCAGGATTCTGCCACTGCACTCCAGCCTGGGTGATGGAGTGAGACTCTGTCTCAAAAAAAAGAAGAAAGAAATATAAGAAGAGTTATGGTTTATTTAAAATATATGATGCTAAATTACTGTAGTTAAATGACATTTTGTTATAAAATACATGCAATATGGTATACTGATATAAAAGCATGAACCATGAAGTCTGTCAGATCCGGATTTCAATCCTGATTCTACTACTTATATTTCCATGACTTTGTATAAGTTAGATAATTTTCAGTGCCCAATGTCCTCAGCCATAAAATGGGAAGAATAAAATTATTTGTCTTCATAAGTGTGTTATAAAGATTAAATGAGATTATGCTGAACAGTTTAGTGTAGTAAATACTATTACGGCTGCTTATTATTTTGATATCAGTGATCTTTACAATTTATGGTCCCTAATCCCCACTTCAGTTTGTGAATATAGAGTTATTTTAATATATGCCAGGAGACAGCATGATTTAAATAGTAAATTTATATGAAATCATATTCTTATGTAAATGTATTTTATCTGCTATTTTGAACTACCTGAATAATAACCTTCTGCCTTAAATGTGAATCATAAACTTTTTCTTGAGCTTTAAAAACATTTCTTTTACTTCAGTTAAATCATTTGATGACAACCTTGAAAGTATTACCATCTAAAAACCTATTTTCTCCATCCCATGAAGTTGTATATGTGATTAACCATATTAAGTTTAATGTGTTTGTCTTGTTTTGTGTTAACGAATTTTTCAGGATTTTTTTCAACAAGTAGCTTTCTCCTAATTTAGATGCTGTAACATGATCAGTATAATGAAAAATATAATAAACATTAAAGCACTTGAAATGCTTTCCATTCTGTTTCTATATATGGTATTTACTTTATATAGATTTGTTCTTTTATTGAGAAACAAAGTACATTTTGTTTTTTAACCTGTGACTTACCCTTTTTTAGTCTTTGTCTGCAATTAAAGAGATGAAATGCTCAGTGCCAGTCCTTTTGTAACGTTTCACTAGCTATCCTTTGCTTAAATGAAGATCATCCTTTGGTAGGTTCCTCAAGAAAGGCACATTTCTGTATCCCCAGAGTTCTGGAGTGTTCCAACTGGTTTTCTGTGACTTTGATACTTGAAGGACAGCTTGAGTGGTTATACCTTTGGGTCATTAGTTTATTTAAGTTTCTTGATAATGCTGTTTCCACGGTTACTTTGATTTTGTATATTATTTTAAAGAAATATGATACCTATTTAATTTTCTTTCCTTAGTAGGTTTTCTCTTTTTGCCTAGAGGCCTTGAGGATTTTTTTCTTTTTAGATTTTGACACTCTCTCTCTCTCTCTCTCTCTCTCTATATATATATATATATATATATATATGTATTTTAATTATACTTTAAGTTCTGGGGTACATGTGCAGATCGTGCAGGATTGCTACATACGTATACACATGCCATGGTGGTTGCTGCATCCATCCCCCCCGTCATCTACATTAGGTATTTCTCTTAATATTACCCCTCCCCATTCCCCCTACCCCCTGCTATCTGTTCCCTAGCCCCCCTACCCCCGGACAGGCCCCAGTGTGTGATGTTCCCCTGCCTGTGTCCATGTGTTCTCATTGTTCAATACGCACTTATAAGTGAGAACATGTGACATTTGGTTTTCTTTTTTTGTGTCAGTTTGCTGAGAATGATGGTTTCCAGCTTCATCCATGTCCCTGCAAAGGACATGAACTCATCATTTTTTATAGCTGCATAGTATTCCATGGTGTATATATGCCATATTTTCTTTATCCAGTCTATCATTGACGGGCATTTGGGTTGGTTTCAAGTGTTTGCTATTGTAAACAGTGCCACAATGAACATACGTGTGCATGTGTCTTTATAATAGAACAATTTATCATCCTCTGGGTATATACTCAGTGATCCGGTGAGGCAGGGGGTTGGAACGAGTCCCGAGGATTTTTTTTTCTTTATTGCTAAAGTCTAATACTTTTGCAACTTAGAGTTGATTGTCCTGGGTTGTTTTGCTTTAGTACCCAGTGGACCCTTTCTATTTGTAGATTCAGGTCCTCTTTTATTTCTGTAAAGTTTTTTTTGGATTATAGTGTTAAATATTAGGGTTTTTTTTTTTTTTCATTGTTTCAGTTTTTATCCTCAAGGACACTGATTATATGTATGTTTGTCTTTCTTTGCTTGTTTTCCATTTCAGTCCCTTTTTCTCTGACTCTTTTTCTCTGACTTCTTAATTTTCATTCTCTTGACTTTTTTCAATGCCCTTTATTAAATTTTAACTAGAATCTATTTTGTATTCTCCTTTGAGTAGCATATAACATAGCCTTTACTTTTTAAGTGACTTTTTTTTTGTTGTTGTTCCGTTTCTTTCCTCAGTTTGGTCAGCTCTTGTTTCATTTCTTGTTGTTGGTTTTTGTTTGTTTGTGTTTCCGATTCAAGGTATTTTTTCATATCCCTAATTGCTTGATTGACAATATTTAATTCATGTTATGTTATAGCTTTCTTGAGGATTGTGGTTTGTTTTAGGGTGGAGACTTTTTTACCAATAGTAATGTTTTTATTGGCATTTTCTGACTTTTTAGTTGCTTTGTTTACAGATGTGGTCTGCTTTTTTCTAGTCCTATTCGTTACTTAGAAAGGGTTCCTACTTGGAGAGTGTTCTTTCCTGTCACTTCTAGCCTCTGCAATGCTATTTGTTTTGTAAATGGTGGTGCTTTCAGTGAAGAAAGAGTTGGCATGTCTTGTTTTTCTTTCATTTCTGTAGTGTTTAAATTCTCTTTCTTCGTTTATTCCTTCTCTCAACTGGCTTGTCTGCAAGGAGTCCCCATACATTTACATCTGCAC